TTACATCCGAACTAGAGTTGAAAAATGAAAACAATTGGACAGAAGCGTGAATTAAAGATTCCGAGATTTTGTGATTCCCGATGATAATCTACAGAAAACTGTTTCAAACTTTTTCGTGCCAGTCAACAATTTGCACATTTTTATCTCCGCTGGAATTTGAACCACGACCCATCGGTTTGGGAGCCTAAATCCTGACCCGTGAGCTACACGATCAACGATGAACACACTGGGCGAACGGGTTTTGTTTTTCTACGTGTGTATGCTACTCCGAACGTTGAGGTTTCAGTTATGACAGGCACGCGAAATGTGAGCACTACTGAGTAGTCCGAACAAGGACCGATGACGGCACCACGGTTTGGGTTGTTATAGTTCTCGGAATAGTGAGAGCTCTCAGCGTTGTGTTCTGCAACAGTGAACTAGATCGATTCTTTGAAAGTATCGAGCTTGGATTAGCCTATTGGATTGTTCAGAAGCACCAGGCACTCTTGGTGGTCTTGGGTGTGGACTTCGCGCCTTCGGAGATCGGTAATTCCCTACACTCAGGAGCATCAGGAGGGCCTGGTGCCTCTTAAACAATCGAATGAGCTAATCCAAGCTTAATGCTGTAAAATTGATTGAGCCATTCGTACAAGGTGATGACCGTCGACCGGGTAGCTCAGGAGTAAGGGTTTGAATTCCAGACCCGAATGTTGGCGGTTCGAGTCCTGACAGAGACACAAAAAGTACGCACTGCTGGCGAGTCCCAAACAGGACGAAACAGCTGTCCAGTGCTCTTAGATCAATTCCTGTTTCCCGGAATTCAGGATCATTTGCTATAAGTGAACAGGCCTTTAAATCGGAGCTGGCAGCAGTAAAAGGAATAATGCATAGTTGCTATATTGAAAGGCCATTTCACCGTTTGTGCTCGTTCGAGAATTTGTTCTCATGGGTTTACGCATTTGATATTCAGGGAAAGTAGTCGTTTGAAGGTTGTTCTGAACCTCACACAGCCTGAAGCGGAACATTTAAAAGTTGTATTCGAGTGAGAACCAGTGAAACACGACTATCAGCGTGAAATGTTGAACGGCAAGAATGAGTTTGAACTTCCTCCTGTAGCAGGTGAATTATTCAACAAGAAGAGAGGTCGGTCACAGTTGGTGGACCAGGTAGAGGAAAACATATTACGCGTGCCCAAGCACTCCAATGACTTCTGGGAAGCGCTCATTGTCGATTAGGTGAGATCAATAAAAGATCGTCATTCTATTGCTTACGGTGAATTTTTGGGAATCGGACTGTGGCAACTTACCGTACATTCTTCTGCTTTTCATTTTACTTCCTTTTATTGAATGCACAAAAATACAATTTTTCAGGAAGGGGGAAGCGGCCAATCAAAGGGCTGCCATACAGTACACAAATGGGGTCAGGCGGTGCTGGTGGGATTCGAACACTCGTCCTCCGGGGTGATAATTAGTGACGTTACCGCTGGCCACTACATGAGGTGGACTTGCCGAGGTTGGCGCTTCGCATCTTTGACTTTGATCCCGATATGTACTCTAGTTATGTGAAACAGTGTGGCGTTTACTGCCAATCAAAGACAAATGATGATGGCAGTGTTGCAGCTTTCCTGATTAATAACTTCCAGGTCGAAGGCTCTCTTGCCTCACTGCTTCCAGTAGAATACACTAGAGGTTGCACCAAACAGATAAGCACTATGTTATTCAGTATGTATTTTCACATTCAGAACTGGGTTAGTAGCTTCTCCAAATGTTTTGAATTCATAAGAGTTCAACTGGGCACCACAAATAGTATATTCGGCTAAGTGTACGGATATCATGAAAATCACCTTAGGTATCTTTTGAGATTTAGCTTCAGACAGATTCACATTCCACTATATTCTGCCAACTCCATGTACTCTATCAGCTGTATCGTTATTATACGGCCTACTTGCAGGGAATCTGCCGTTTTCAAAAAGATGGTGCTTCAAACCGCAGGTTAATACACTCGAGTGCAAAACCACAGATGATAGGGAGCATGTTTTCTTTTTTATTGAAGAACTAGAAGCAGCCCAAACCATTGCATTCCGGTCGCTTCAAGCCAAGGAAGATCTCGGTGCTGCATCACGGTTCCGTGATACAGTACTCGTGGAGCATAATCCCACGAAACCAGTGTCCGGTGATAATGAATAGATTACTAGGTATGGGGGTGTTCGGTGGAGTTATACACATTTTTGGGAACTCTTAATAAGTCTCCTGACACTGACCAACCTACGTCCTTTGTCGATTTGTTTGTACATCATCATCAGCACTTAGTTGGAGTATATCTCGCACCCATCCATCGAGACTATTACTTATTAGTCATTTGGAGGGAGTCCATGATAATGAGTCAGTGGTTTCATTTTAAGAATCATCCAGACCACTCAACGTTGATACTTCGACTGGTAGAAAACGCATCAAATTTTGAAGTACACGATTCTCGTTTTACATAAGCACTCAGCTTCCATGAATGAGAATGTACGAAACATAAAGCATGCCAATTCATCATCTAACAGCCCTGGAAAGACGAATTCGATTGGTGTAGCTCCGGCTATGAAGTAGCAGAATTTGGAATTCAAAATGTTTCAAAAGCGATTTACCAAAGACAGAAAAATATTTTGAACCGAATATCACTTCAGTCGAAGTAACCTCGGTCAAGACAGAGTCCTTTGGGGATGAAATATTTCAGCCGTCTCACCAATACAAGTGTATCTATATCAATCACAGGAATGGAAGGCATTATTGGGTTTCTATATGAGCACCCAATGGGGTAGTGAGGCTTTGCAAATGGAACGAGTTGAATCGGATTTATACGGTTGGAATCATGCAGACGTATGGTTGTATGTCCTTTTGTCTAACGGTATTTTAGGCCTTTAACTACTGAGAAAAGAAGCAAACCTTTACGGTGCATAGTGTCCCGGCTAAGATGTTCAGAAGGACATTGGCGGGCGGTGTTTCGTCCTTGGGATGCAAGTGTGAAGATTCGTATTTTTCGCTTCATTCAACCTAATACCCGAGTTATTGCACGGTTCAATGCATGCCACGTCTAATACACTCCATTTATAACCCTTGACCCAGTCCACTCGAGTGCTTCCTGTTTTCAATGCTGACCCATTACGTGTTCACGACTCACTACCTTTACCCACCCCTCAGCAGTATCAAGCAGTTTTGCGATAGCCGTATCCTTGATTGAGCAGGAATCGATCGTTTCCTTTCAACTGTTTGCCTCTACAATTACATTTGTGGGACTAGTTTAGTTTACACGATATCCCCATGGACGGTTCTGATCCATTGAATCTATCTACTGTCCTTGATTGGGTCCTTCTGGATCCCTCTTTTGTCCGGGATTACACTGTTGCTTTACAATTGCCTTATTGTTTATTTCTCCGTTAACAAAAGTGTGACTTTTTGCTCTATCCTCTTTGATGTCTTTATCTGGGTTCATAGTGGTCATACGCGTACCTCGTCTGTAGATGATCTCAAAGTTTACTGCTTCTTGACGAACTGCTAGAGTTCGCTGTAGTATCTTTCCAGTGATCTTTGTCGACCATTACACAAACCAAGTCCCGAGGCGATTGACCCACAGAAAAGGGAAAACACTGACGACGTTGCATTGAACGGCTACAAAACGTCTAAAACTAGTTTGGAGTACCCTCGAACACCAGCATTCTCACCTCGAGTTACAAACAGTCAATATGCTATCCAGAACAACACCACTACTAGTGCCTGTGAATTGCGTTGAACGACCTGAAACATCTTTAATCAATTAAACAACTGTTTTCGCTCTGGCTAGCAAGTAAAAGACCACATGATTTAGCTTGGTGGTTAGAAGTGCAAACATATTACCCTTCTGCTTGTTCACTAGATTGAGTTGACCGTTCCACCGGATTTAGTTCGGACCCTTGTGCCACATTTTCTTCCAGGTCGGCTCTTTTCGAATCCTTGAAAATCATTTCTGCAAGTGATACGAGAGAAAAAGCTATTAGAAACGTCAGATGAAGCTACCCTGTGAGAAAATCACAGTGCGTCATAATTATAGAGCTGGCCTGTTTGGTTGTATCAAAGGACTGGAAAACACGACGAAAATTTTGATGTAAGGTAAAATAGTTTGTCAAAACACAAATAACCAACAATGATAAAAGGAATGTAACTGCTTCTCAGAAAATTTATTTCATACAAAAAATACATTCAAACAATAACTGTAACATAGGAAACTTGAAGTTCCAAAATCAACTCACCATCACCATTTAGAATTGTTCAGCCTCCTTGCAGTAAAAGCATCTAAAAATTATCTGTTTGAGATAGAAAGAACGCATCCGATAACGTTCCGGTTATTTGTCATCTATTCAAATCTCACACAGTCCGACAAAGTTCAAAGTTCCATGTGTCATTGTACCGATACAGCTCACAAACCGTTCACATGGTGTCAATGGGGTCTGTGATCGGGACACCTCTGGTCCATTGTGTTCATTCGATGAACTGCCGCATGAATGAACATTTGTGCAGTTACGCAACCCACCAAGAGGTTGAATGCGATCACATAATGCACATCCAAATCAACAGCTGTTGGACCTACATTCAAACGTTCAAAGCTTCAAAGAACCGAGGAAGTTAAATCATTGGAAAATGTACACACCTTTTAGCTGCGGTTGCGTAAAGTGAAACGTTGCACGCTGCAATTGGATGCAGTCCTAAAAACACCCATTATGGTATTCAGAAAGGATGAGCTATTATCAATTACTATTGGGCTGTAGTGAAAACCCTCCGACGACATATCTGAATCCCCTAGTGTTCTGGACTGCAAAAGAGTAGGGAAAGTCACGTCCGTGCAAAATTAACAGAAGGTACACCTAAAAACATCTATTTTTAAATAAGCAATTTTACAGGAAATTTCTTATGCAACCGCTTCAATGAAAAACTGATTGTTTTGTGAGGAAAAGCTTGCTGCTTTATTTGACGCAAAAGTTTATTTACCATTGATTGAAACGGTGATTCTCTGTCAGTTAATTTATGTGAAAATTCACGGCTGATACTATGTAATTGTCGCCCAACATACTTGAACTCACTTTGGATGTAGTATTCAGATTCCCGAAGTCTTATTTACCTCAAACGTGATTTAAAGGGACCTAAAAGATACCGGATTACGCGAAGGAAAAACGTTGGTGGAAAAACAGATTAGTGCTGTTGTTGGTGTGTTCTCCGAGCTGGAAGTGTTGTCGCGTCATGAGAGACGCTGAGAGCTTTGGCTCAGAATAGAGGTTATCTTCGCGAATGTTGTACGGTTTTTGTTGTAACCCTATACCCCATGAAAATGATAAATAAGCTGATATATATATCAGCGACAATCACATAGATTCAGCCGTGAATTTTCACATAAATTAACTGACAGAGAATCACCGTTTCAATCAATGGTAAATAAACTTTTGCGTCAAATAAAGCAG